GCGGGGGCGGGCCCGGGCCGGCCCGGGCGGCGCAGGCGGGAGTTCGGCGCTGAGCTCGGCCTGCGAAGTAACGGCCCTTGCGGGGAAGGGACCCCCGAGGCGAAGCACCAGGTCCCGGCAAAGGAGCGGTGCAGGGGGACGTGACCGCCAGCTATTGCCATTACCCTTTTTAGGCCCACGGAGGGGGACAGTGCCTGGAGAGAGCAGCCGGCACAAGGCTCCCGGGTTTTGGATGGCGACGGGGCTCTCGGTGAGAAGAAAAGGGCAGGGGGGAGGCAGCACTCTCAGCCAGCACGGCAGCAGCGTGTGTATGGAGGCGCTGCCACCGGACTGACGGACGCCAAGCCAGGCAGATCAATGTCACTAGAAGAGGTGTCAGTCCAGTACTTCAGCGGGTGGAGTGTCCTCGAGTGGAGGAGGAAAAGGTCTGTCTCAAGTCTGTTCTGCCAAGGGCTGCGCAGGTTACCACAGCAGCTCCGTGAAAAAGGCCCACAGACAAAGCACTTCCATCCCTTGCAAGAAGGCTGCTGACGATAAAGATTGCAAGTGCTCAAATTCTTTGGTAACAGGTTCTATATAAGATGACCAACTTAGTGCCATGGGATTTCTTCCATCTGTTCTCAGTAATGACCACTGTCTTGGTCAAATTTTAGCCCAGTAGTTACATTTTACCTATTGAAGTTAAGTCATCTTGATATCAGTTTCTCATTCCCAGGTCTTGAGAGTTGCCAGGACTCAGAACAGCTGCGATACAATGTGGGGGCTTCCACGACAGCCTCTATTAACTACTAACATTGCTGTAATGTGGCATCACAACCTTAACGGTTAACAGGTTAAGAGGAAAAAACAGCACTCTCCTACCTCACAGAGTGCCCAGGCTGAAACAGTCTCCCCCTCATGTGAAAGGAGCTACCGATACACGCAAGTACTACATTTACCCAGCCATCTTCAGTCCATTCAGCACATGCACACTTAGATTAAAGAAAACAAGAAAATAATCTTCTACAAATAAACTCAATGAATACTAAGAAAACATTATTAACCTGTTTTCTGGAGGGTACTTACAAATTTTGAAATCTCCATTCTTCCTACAGATGCTTAATTCTAGGATCAAAAGCAGTATTCAGTGTTTAGAATTACACTGTTTGTATTTCAAGTACTGCTTGTCTACTGACTGCACATACACGTAACCTGAAGTTCGCACAAGGGTGATACGAGAAGAAATTAAAGACGACTACACTATTGAGTGTCGACTCATCTGCTGGGACTGTAGCTTTGAGCTTTTGGTACTTTCTCAACCTCTGGACACTAACAAATATATCTTACAGTAGAACTATACTGTGGACCTGACTCATTGCTGGCATCTGTTTAAGAATGAACAAACAGACAAAGAGATTATAAATATATAACTGTATTTTATTTTTAATATTAAATATTTTTAAATTACAAGCAGTTTCTTGAATCACACTATGCATGATAATCAATATACAGTAGAAATTACAATTTAAAAATGTACACAATTTAAAGACATTTTGACCTGAAATTTCATTAACTATGATATATTGCCATAAACCTCATACCTGTATTAAATTACAATAGGAAAACCTCATACCTATGATTTTGTTACATAGTTTCTCATTTACAAATAGAATTAAACATAATATATACACACACATCAGTACCATTTATCATTTAAGTTACACCTACATCTGTGCAAGTTCAAACAATTTCATAAACAAAACTAACTGTAAGTCATATTCAAGTTTCTGAAAAACAGGCTGCTGGTATTACAAATACTTATTTTCAATAAGTTTATATGATGTTTTGACTCTCCTCTAGATTTTTTCCAGTCTTGTACCAAAACCACTAACAGACAAGGATATTTCTGTATGACTTAAAGCTGAAGTAATTTTGTACACTCCATTCTTATTTAAGGCTATTTCTTATAAGGCTAATATACTTGGATTCCACCTTTCACCAACTCCAACAAAAATAGCCATGTCACTAACACCTGACAATGCTGACGTTTTAGCATAGTGCTTTATCATAAAAAAAAGTCTTTCTACCAACCAGCCTCCTCATGAAAAAGATCGAGTACTACATAAAAATCTGCTAAAAATACTGATAAAAAGAATGAGGCTTAAATGGCTTTCATTAGTGCATCAACAAGGATATGAAAAAATGTTTAATCTGCTCATTTCCATGAAAATGGCAGTTTCCATAAATGCAGTTATACACACAACATATCTGCAGCTTGGGGATTTGGGAGAGTACAGGTGTTCCCATTAAAACTGGACACTCTTCTCGCTCTGTTGGCTTCTCACTACAGATCCTCATTTTTAAACAAACTTCCTTAGGTGGGAAAAATCAGATCTTTCAAATTACTTTAGTAGCCAAATTGAGACAATGCCTTCATTATTCAAATAATCAAGGTATTCTACTAGAGAAGGAATTCAAACGTAACCAGTCCTCATAATAAACCATTGAAAATAGATACATGTACTTCTAAAACGGAAACCATACTTAAGTAGCTAGTGCAAGAAATTACATATAGTTTAACCAATGATTTGTAACAAATCCCCTCATAATGTAGCACGTTGGAATTAACTGATTCATCTTCATTGTGCCACTGACTGCTAGGCAGATATTTAAATATTGCGAGTAATTAATCAGATTTTTAACTATAAATTTTTCCAAAAAAGACCATTTATATTATTGTAATCCAGTCTACTGGATTACTGAAATTAAAATTCATGTTTAAGTGAGGTGAATCAACTTTAAATATTTATTTCTCTTCATTGTACAGCTAAAAAGGACACTACCTTGCTTAATATCATACACATCCCAGCTCGTTTTGGAAAAAATGCTCCTTTGGCAATTCATTAGCAATGAGTCCATTTAGACAAAGGAGTAAACTTTCACTTCCTATGTAAGATTTTCTTTAAACCCTGGTAGAGAATAAATATCTTTTATTTCCATCAAGCAAAGGAAATTCCTGACGTGCAAGATAAACATCGGATTTTCGGGCTTTCGGAATTATAAGAAACAAAATGCACAACCGAACTCTAACATTCTGGAGTATAAGCTTTTACTTAACACCGTGGACTATATTTTAAATCAAATGATTCAAAATTAAGGCTGAACTCCAGGTCTGATAGATTTTCACCATGCCAAGGCAGATAAGCCCACACATTCTTTGCAGACCAGTATGGAGTTTCATTCTTACTCTGGTGAGAATTATAGCAGACAGATGAGACACCTCAATGTAGCAATATCAAGGAGTTTAATGTTGGAATTACGGAATTTCTAAGCAATAATTTATGCACAAAGTCTATTACCTATATTTTAAAATACTGAGAGCAGCGCACAGGTTCCTTAAACCCTCTACAGTATTTACTGTAAGCCTGTATTAAGAACTACTTGGCTTTGCCTCTGAAATGATGTTTTGGGAAAAGTCCATGAAAAATTCAGTTCCTCGCTTCCTACAGAAGAACAGTTCTGATTAACTCTGAACCTGAGCGCCTCATCAGAAAGAGTTATCTCAACAATACATTGGCAATTTTAAATAACATTATAACTAAATCATTCCCTTTTGATCAGTATGGAAACCATTCTGGTTAAGGGCTAAATAATGCTGGGGGAAAAAAAGCAGTTAACGTATTCCTGTCATTTTAAAACATACTTAAAAAAAAAATCAAAATGCATATACAGAGGTATACAAAAAAAACCTTTACACATCTGAAAATATCTAGTCCTCCCATACTTCATGTGATGAAAACTCTCTGGTGACTGGATCTGAAGACTTGGACCACCATTATACTGAAGCCCTGCCAAAATATCCACTAAAATACAAAGTACTTAGTAGTACATTTGTATTTTAGGACACTAAAATACAAAGCCAGATAAACTGTTCCTATCAGTTTTTCCTATAGATCTGCAGCTGCATAAGGCATTCCAAGAGGTCAGGAATTTGTTTCTCAACTGAACTCACTTTGGAGTAATAATTAAGGATTTTTTTTTTCCCAAGCAGTTTGAAGGATTAAACTAGCTAAACGCATGGTAGAGTATGAAGGTTAAAAAAAAAACAAAAACAAAAACACCCAACCACATTACACTCCCTTCCCTACAGACAGCTTCAGAGCAAACTTTACTATACTGCATCTTTTGGTCAGTATGCATTTCAAGATGTACCATGGAGCCTTGCAGACATCTTAAAATAGGTCTGGCCTTATAAAGGGTGCAAAATTGGGTATTAACCATTAATCTAATTCTTAATTGTCATAACATCACTGAGAGGTAGATTTACCACAGGCCTCTGAACAGCAGCCCCAGTCTGCAGTCAGCAGAAGAGTGAGCTTCAAAATTTACAGAATGTACAACTGAAGGGCCAAGTGTGCCCAAATCCAGTCTATTGAAATTAGTCTTTTTAGAAGATTCATAAATTCCACGGTTTTGTACAGCCAATTTTTCCTCTTCTCTCTCCAAGGCAGAAATTGTAGTAAAAACTGGAAGGCCCTTAATTATGATATAGTCAGATGCTATTACAGTTTAGAGCAGTCAGTAGGATCATATTCAGGAATTAAGAGACATTATCTCTTTTCATCTAAAAATTCCAGAGCATATCATATATTCTTTTCCAGTTTCCTATAAAACATGAACACTAACAATCAATCTATAATCATTATCATTTAGAAATGGTACTGAATATAAGATTTCAGCAAGTCTAACATAACACTCAGAAGTTATGTATGTTTTACAAGTACCGTGCATAGCAAAGGCTACAAAAAAGACAAATTAAACTGGATAACTAGGCCAATTCAACTTGTCTTATTTTCCTTGAAAGATTTAAGATTTTGATTCTGTACATCATCAGGAAATAAAGGAATAACAATCCATAGTGCAATTGTAATACGCAAAGTAATATGTAGTGATATCTTTTTGAATAAATATGGCTCACTACTGATCAACTATCATTCATACAGTTTCAGCAACACAGCCACCTGTTGCACAGGACAGTTATACACAATTCTACAACAGGTGTATGTTCAAATAGATAATGAACTACATGGAAAAATATAAAAAGAATATTATACAATCTCATACATAAACCAGACTGTAGTGTAATTGCTTTACGTGTTTCTTAATTTATCTGAAAAATACTTCAAGTACTTGAAAACAGCGGCAGAATCATCTTTCAATGAAAAGCAAAATTGCACTGATTTAAAAATACATTACAAAGTTAAATACACATTCAAATTAATGTCCTGATTTAACATTGCTTTCAGTGTTTACTTTCAATTCTTAGTACTTCTTGATTACCTGTGTTACTCCAGCAGGATCCAGAGTTTAGATAAAGAAGTTTCAGACACAAAGTCTGTGTGTTTTATGTATGTAGTCCAAGGAAGTTTTAATTCATTTAATCTTTTTCTCCATCTTCACTGCTTCCTGTTAGTGGAGGAAAGGTCATAAGGTACAGTGAGATTCTTCCATACAACCCTCAATTCTTTTGTAAGACTCTTGCTAGAACTTGGCATTCTGCTGTTTTGCATTTCCAAGTTTGGTTAATCTTTCCCTACGGCTTTCAACTACTGTAAACATTTGGTACATTTATACATAGACATCTGCTTAAATCGCACAGTTCAATGTCACTTATTAGGACACGTAACGCAATGTAGGATCTCCAAAATAATCTCTCTTATCTGAAAGTTACTAAGCAGCAAATATTATCTAATCAATAAGCACAATACAAGAACAATACACTCTATATAACAACGATTACATATTTATAGACATTGACCATTAGCAAGGCTCAGCAATCAGTAATATTTATTTTTAATAATGCAACATTTTATCAAGATTAATAATATGGTGAACTGACTCAAGTCTGCTTACTTTTGCTTCTCTTAACCCTCAAAAAAATGTATCAAAGCTTTAAAAAAAAGCTTTTTGTTAGACAAGAAAGCTTCTGTTAATAAATACTGCTAGTACTCAATATTGCTATGAACAAATTGTTTGGCTCTCCTAACAGCAACTATCCTACTTGCAGCTCTAGAAAACCCTGCAATTCTTGACAGAATGTCAAGAATGCACTTTCTAAAAAGCAATACGAAAAGAAACTGAACTGTAAAATAAGCTTAGACAACAATGTCAGAAACATTATGTTCCTAGCATCCTCACCCTGTGCAATAAAAATAAAATTGTGACTTATGACAGTACAATAATGAGAATTGTTCAACTGCCATAGAGTGGCAGCTATACAGAAGTGCTTAAGGACTGCATAGATTTCATTTATATAAATATAGCACTAATTTTTTGAACAGAAAAACTGTAAGCTTGTCCTATAAATGTTCCATAGAATATTCAACCACAACCTCGTAGCAACCTGGATGCAAATAATCTAAATGGAAAGCTATGTCTTAACTGAAATACAAGACCAGACATAACTTTCATAGTGTTAAAAATGCATTTCTAAATTAAGTATTTAAAATAGAACAAGATTTGTCACATCTATGACTTTTATCTTTGCATAGTTTTTAATTTGTAGTTTTAAAGTAATTATTGTAACTAAATCACTTACCTCCTTGCTCTATATCTGAATCTGTAAGATGTGTAAGAGAAAAGCTTGCCATGTTTGCAGGAGAGATAGAGAATCTGGAATAAGGGGATGAATGTGACCAGTTTTGATCCAGAGTCCGAGAAGGTGGAGGTGGAGAGAAGTACTTTGATGACTGAAGAGGTGGTTTAGAACTAATAAGACTATTAGCTGCCTTTGATATAAAGGATGGCTCTGGAGAAGAGAAGTCATCATCCCATTCAAAACCCCCACCTTGGGGGGGAAAAAAAAAAAAAAAAAGGCAATTTACAGTAATGTAAAGTCATAAACAGTTTTAAAAGCAAGCCCCTGGAAGACTGCATTAATCCAAAACAAAACTTGTAGCATTTTTGTTCTAGCCCTGGGGGTCACACACATGGTTTGGTTGCCTCTCAAGATACCCTAGACACATCAATATATAAACAACCAGTATTACATCACAAGCTTTGATAATCAGTAACACTAGTACCTGAGCCTAGCTGAAGTGTACACTTAGGATGCAAAACTGAAGCCAATATGGTACAGTGAATTTACAAGTAACATATAATTTAAATGACATTTCACTAAAGACTATGCATAAAACAGTCTCAGCCCCTGCTGTGTATAAATATATTCAAGTACCTTCTTCATCTGTTGAGCTTTCTGAATTTGCAAATCTGTTTAAGTAACTAAAACTCGAAGATGGAACAGGAGTGCTGCGAGACCCTTCCCCATTCAAGTCTGCTGCACGGTTTCCCAGCTCCTTAGTTGGCATTTCCTAAGGCAAACAAAATAACTTATTTAACTTTCTTGTACACACAATGTATCTATACCTATAGATGCAAGCATTCAAAAAATACGCTCCCCCACCATCAAGTCTACTGTGAAATTAAATGGTCTGTAAACTCTTAAGTTATTACCATACAACAAAACTTTGAGTTATATATTAAGCATATACATGTACTTCTATTTCTAAAGAAAGCTGTATCAAATCTATGCTAAAATGCATGCAGGAAATGACTAAATATTATTTACAATATAAAATAGATTCATACAAAGTTAAAACACCTTCCAGTTGAAAACAGTTCCTTTATCAGCCTGACACAGGTAGTTTTTTTCTCTTTAATAAAGCCTTATCCCATCTCCCAACATTTTTTTAAATTTTTTTTTTTTACCCCTTAATCATGCTTCAGGATAAAGAGACAGACTTTGTATGACCGGTATTTAAAGCAGTCAACATTTTATCAGTTACTATAATAACAAGTACAAGAGTTCAACAACTAAGAGCAGTTTAAACACAGCTCATTTTTTTCCTTCCCCTCTGACAAAAGGATTACTATTCCACAGATTGCCTAAACACAAATGTATCACCTAAGTTTTCTATTCCAAAACACAATTATCTCTAATATTTATGTGCGTCATCATAAGCAACATTTCCAAAGCTTGACAATGTGACTGTTCTTTTAAACTCACTGTACTAGTTTAGTTGCCATAATCTTAAAATACAATCCCCTCTGTATCAAGTTACAGAAGTTAAAAATTGATAAAGCAGATAGGGAAACAAAGGTAACCTTGAATTTTATAAACAGATCAGTATTTCACTGAACTTGAATCACATGGGATTAATAAAAAGTAGCATTACCATCTAAACACTGTTCCCATCTCCGATTATGGTTTAAGGTAAATTTACCTTAATGCTAACTAAGGCAAGATTCAGAGTTGAGTTGTGGTTTTGGGGTTTTTTGTTTAGTAGTTTTTTTTTTTTCTCCTTTTTTCCTTTCTTTTATAAAGACATTTGAACTTAAAAGTCCTCAACCTCATTAAACAGATAAAAACCACATTTTATTCAGTGCATGCAGCCAAGGGTTCAAAACCAACAGAGATTCAGGATTTGGCAACCAACCCTGCCCAAAGTGAAACCCTCCTTCACTTCAAATTAGTGTTGCTATTCTACCAGCAGCAACCACATCTAGCCAAGAAAAAAAAGTTTTTTTTCTTTATATATAAAGAAAAAATAACCCACATCACAAACAAGATCTAATCCTACCAAAATAAGAAAGGTGATCTTGTAACAACGTGTCCACAAATACTAAGCTATTCTACCACATCTTGTTTAAAAAACCCAAACCAACAAAATCTTTACTTAGTAATTAGAAAAAAAAAAAAAGGATACCTGATCAAACAAATAGACCGTCACATCGTCAAAGAACGTTACAGCCTTTTTGTCATTTTTCCAATTCTCATGTTGCCTTTCATTAAGAGGTTTTGGAAGTTTCAACAAGCTTCTCAGATGTTTTCCCTCATCCTTGTCAGTAAGTATCTCAGGTACTTGATGAACAGTTTCATCTTCACTGTCAGAACTCAGACTATGCATATGAAAAGTCCTCATGTCATCCTCAGAATCACTGTTTTCATCCTCCTCATCTGCATCATCACCATCTTCTAAATCAAGCATTCCAGAAACATCGAGTTTGCCGAGGTATTTTCCTTCAATATCTGGCTCTTTCAGTTTTTGTCCTTCAACATGATAGAAGGACTTCTCATTGTTACTCAAATCTAAAGAACTGTGTATGTTATGCACAGAGTTTAAGTCCCTGTGTGAAAGAAGTTCTGAAGTATTAGTGCCAACACAAGAGACAGTTTTATGGGAAGTCTCACACAGTTTTATTTTATCCCTTAGGTTACTTTCCATCGATATTTCCAGGGAATTCAGAGTTGCCTCAGCCCACTCATCAGGACACCCCTGCATCCTTACATCCATCTCTTGGATCTCTAAGTTGTGATTTATTTCTAGTTTTGCATTTTGATTATTGGTATCCTGGTAATTCCTTACATCACACTTTTGCTGTCTCTCTTCAAAACTGTAATCCTCTTCAGTATTATTCTCTCCTCTATCTGAAGAAACAACACACATAGTCTCTCTTGACAGATTTACAGTCTCTTCTGGTTTTTTATCTGGCTCAGAATCATTATCAGAGAAATAGGCAGAGTCTCTATACGAGTTCTGATTTCCACCCAGAAAAACCTTTGGGGTTGTTTCAAAATTGCTGTTCACTGCATCTAAACAAGCTGCTGCTTCTGAAACAATTATGATTGGATTAGAAGGTAAAGCACTGATGTTGCTCTCACTGACAACACAGAGAGCAGTATCTACACTAGAGGCATCCTCAACAGTGATATGGGAAGTCCATTCTGGAGATTCCAGGTTCTCCGTTTCATAGCCACTGTCAGCAGGTTTATCAGGTGGCAAAAGTTTCTGAGGACTTTGAGCCTGTAAAGATTCTAAAACCTCATTTACATCTAAAGAATCTAAAGAATCAGGTGTCTCTAAGGCTTGTTCTACAGTTTGTATAGGAGATGGGCTGTCTTCCAAAAGACTATCCTGACTTGCGCAATCTGAAGTAGCAACAGAAATGAAGGTCACCTCTTCTGGAACATCCTTACAGTTCTCAAAATGATTTGATGTTTCTTGTCTTTCCTCCAATAAACATTCAACTTTTTTTAATATAGGAGACTTCTCTTGCAAGTTTCTTTTCCTATCTTCCGGATCACTACATTCCTCTCTATTAAAAGCTATTTCATCAGACTTGAAAAGCATTCCCTGTTTTGTTTGTGCATCACACCCATCTGTTTCAACAGCAACACCGTAACAAGGATTGTTTCCAACATTATTATTTTTGGCATTATTGGATAGCTTTTCTTGACAGAGAATATCAATGCTACAGGGCACAACTTCGTTGACTTCCACATTTGAAAGTTTTTCCTCATCCTTCAAATAAGGAGGATTTGCATGTTTATCACATGACTTATGTGCTGTAGGTGGACTAGAAGATGCCTGCATCTCTACAGTAGCATCAGACTGAGAATTTGGATCTTTATTCATTGTCACTGGGTTAAAATTTTCATCTTTCACTGTTCTAAGACTTTCATGTATTGAAGAAAAGACCTGTGCATTTTCAGCCAGCACAGGCTCAGGCTCTACAGAGTTTCTATTTGAGGTTTCTAATATACTTTTTAGAACATCTTCTGGTTTTTGCCCAAAATCACTGCTGGTTTTGTTAGACAACAACCCTGTTAGTAAGTTTTTCTCTTGAAGAAATAAGAGGTTATCAGAAAGTTCTTCTAAAGTTACCAAGTCAGACTGGTTAGAGATATTTTCACACAAGGAAACAGTTTCATTTTCAGAAGCATGACTAGAATGCTCCTTCGCAGAAAGGCCTACTGCCTTTCTAGCATCTGTGTTTGAGTTCAAAACAGCTGGTTTAAAGTCTTTAGGAATATCATTTGTTTCAGCAAAACCAAGTATTTTTCTGTTTGTCAGTTCTTCTGATCTGTCAATGTCATTAAATATATTCTGGAAAGGACTTTCTGGACTACTAGCAGCAGGCAAAAATTCCTCTTTAGGATCTGTATTGTAGTGGAAGAAGTCCCCATCAGTGCTAGATTCTTCAGTATCAAGATCCCTGAGAACCATGAAATGAGAATTTTTTTCTTGTACAGCTTCTTGATGATCAACTTCTGTAGTTAGTACAACTGATTGGTTATCAAAATTCATGCTGCAGCCACTTCCTTTTTCCTCTAACTGGATATAGTAGTCATTTCCAACAGAAAGCTTGTGTGCGTCAAACACAGGTAACACCCCAGGGACAGCAAGTGATGCTTCTTGGCCACTTCCATCCTGTGCTCCTGACCCTTGCTCTGAAAGTGACCTCTCAAAAACCTCCACTGGAAAGAAAATACTTGTGTATGTCATTGCTTCATCAGGATTCACATGACCACATTCATCAAAATGATCATGTTTAGCTGCCTCCCAGATATATTCAAAGCTGAGACCCTGGCTTGTTTCGGTTACAGTAAGAACTTCCTCCATCTCATGGCCAAGTCGATCTCCTGTGAAGTGATCTAAGATTGGAAATGCAGAACTATTTGTTTCTCTATTTGAGGTGTTTGGTTTAAGAGCATTCCACTGCTGTTCAAAATCAATCTCCGAGTCCCTTTGGCTTTGCATGCGAAGGTAAGTTAAAAGTCTATGTACTTCTTCTGCTGTTGGTCTCTTTTCTGGAGGTAGCCAACAGAACTGCAGAACTTCATACCTATACAAACAAGAAACATGTTTCAATAGGTTTCATACTGAAAAGGAATTTATAAAATTCAGGTATCTAACAAGCTAATGAGTAACAATTAATATCATTGGCAGGAACTTCCATCTATGGCAACTCCTTTTACTCCCTTTATCTAGGCCTTCTTTGCCAGGAGCATGATTCCATGTAGCAATTTCAATATATATAAGATATAATTTGAGAAACTTCTTCAGCAGCTTTAAGAATTAAAAAAAACCCACACACATTCAAAGTTTACCATCTATCAGAGTATGGCTGCTCCAGACGTGGCTTGAAGAGTTTAACCTGCTTCTCCTTTATGACATGAGTTAGGACTTCCCTGTCAGAAAAGTCTGAGTAAGGCTGAGCAGCATTCTCAAACAGCTCCCATAACGTTACACCCAAGGACCTGAAAAAGAGCAGCAAATGACTGTGCATTCTAAGAACTATTTTAAAGTTGCTTTTCTAAGAAAGGATTATGCAAAGCATAACTGGCAAGAAGAAACAAATATCACTCTTCCACTGGCTCTATAATAACTTCAGAACCTGTTAACTCATTTTGTTTGACAAAATGCTAGAAGCCTCAAGAATAAAGTTGCTTGAAGGCAATGACAATGAAGGCAACAACATGTAAGAGGCCTCAAATGATTCAACTATGGAAGAAACCCCCACATATTAAAAATAGAAAATGCCTATTTAGAGAAGCAAGATGAAAAAACCTTATGGTTAGTCCAACAGTAGGAAAAGCTTTCATCAGAAATTGGGTCAAACTGCTAGAAAACTCATCTTTGTTTCAGTTTTCATAAAATTACTTATTTTTAAGCTGCAGTGGTCAGAAGCTGTGTCTTTGCTCAGTAACATACCGTATACAGCACTTGCCACATTTGCAGTGATTAGAGTTGATGTTGATCCTTGGGCAACCTTTCCTTGCTCAAAATACAGAGTAACTGACTCTGCATGTATTACGGTAGAAAAATTTAGATTGGAAGGGGTCTCTAAGTCATCTAGTCCAAACCTGTTCAAAGCAGCTCTGTATAAGAGGCACCAAAATTCAAGTTGGAAACCTTAAGACTCCGGCTGCTTGAGTTTAAATGAACTGTATGATCTGAGGAAGCGTGCTTGAAGGATGCAAGGAAATCAGTACATAGGTAATTTCTATCTATCCCACTTGCTTTCTGCAACCCTACCTTTAAATTAGCAAATAAAACCTAGTTTACTATTTAATATCCTTAGTATATAAAAGCAGGCATTTAACCACAACGTTTTCAGAAATGTTAGTCTAAGCCCCAATTTCCATTTCCCAAATTTCCTAGGACTTGAGAACTGAAGCGGAACTTGGCGATTTCAAAAAAGTTCATCAAGATTTTCACCAGCCATTGTCTATAAGCTCTTTGATAGCACAGACAAACAGTTAATTGCAGTCCTTAAATGCTGCAGCAAGAAATTAAGATGCTACTGTTCTACCAATGGAACTTAATTGGGCTCTAATGGGATCAACTTTTTGTCATCCACAGCTATTATATTACTGGAAAAATAATTTACCATTTCCTTCCTTTATAAACATTTGAAGGCATTCAGCAAATACATAGTAATGAGTTTTAGTATAAACACCTACTCTTCTGTTAAACACTTTTTCTTAATCTAACTGTTCTCTCCACAGATTTCTAAGCATCTTTCCAAAGCAAGATATAGCTTCAGGTTTGTAGAGATGAACCTGTGGTACATCTGCAGTACAACAGCGCATCAGGCCAATATTCAATTTAACTATAAGTATTATTTACTCCTTTGTGTAACACTTGAATATATGTTCACACATCTCTCATTGAAATTATTTTAAAGCCTACTACATACCATATGTTACTGTATTTATTTTGCTCTGCTGATAACAGTCTGTCTTGAAAACTTGTTACTAACTCAGGTGCAGTCCATCGGAGAGGAACAAGCTTCTTCTCATCTGTCTCAATATAATCTTCCTAAATTATTGATAAAAAAATAAAAAGACTGAACAAACATTGGATCAACTTCCAGAAGTTGACAGTCCTTTCCTTAATATGGTTGTATGTGATCCCTATGCAAAAAATTAGAATTAAAAAAATTAATCCCATTTTCCCCAAGTAGCAGAGAATAACACTATAGAGGAAAGGCATTCACCGTTCACTGCCAACTTGTTGTTTAAGGTTTGGTACTCAGAAAATGTTTTTAATTAATGCCTTGAATTTTTCACTTTCTTGATGTATTTTAATACTGTAAATATTTTCATTAAGAAATTTGATTGAATTTTTCCTTTCTTAAATCATTAAAATTAATTTGTGCGTATTTTAGGACTACTATAAACAGGACCTAAAACAGATTTAACCAGAAGCTTCCTTCTACAAGCATAAACTCCACTTGTCTCTAGAAAGATCATCTATTCTGTTACATGAGCTTGCTATGGTTATTTGCAAGTTATACTTTGAAAGTCCATTATTCAAATAAAGGACAATCTAGTATCAGTTTACAACTTTAAAGTATGCTTGTTATAACCTCAGCCCACAAATCCTTTAAAAAAAGTGGTACATTACTAGATTAACTTACCTTATACCTACTGAATCCTATACCATAATCTCCTACTTTGACATTTAAATCAGATGTAAGAAAGCAGTTCCGTAAGGCCAAGTCACTGAAAAAGCAAGCAAATAAATAATGAGAGCAAAGCAAGAAGTCTTCAATGAAAATTAAGACAAGTGGGTTAACAGAAGTGACACTTCTTAGAACAGTCAGGCCACAGTTTAAATTATCAAGTAAAAAGCCAACAAAATTCTGGAAAAAAAAAATATTAAAAAAATCAAGGAGTTACACACAGTTATAGGTTACAGCAGCAAGTAGCAGGCCATAATAGGAGCAGATCAGTAATACAAAACAATAGTGCTAAGGATTCAACATCCACACTATATACACTTCCAATGATTTTATTCGCATGAGCTAGTCCGATTCCACAGACCTAAATCCTACTAAAAGCTGAAGCAAGCTAGGTGCTAAAAAGGTGTGCTCCTGGAGCTACCTTTCTGATTCTCTTTGGATAAAATTAAACCAGTCCATGCGCTCCAAAAGACCAACTTATAATGCAAATCCAGGCACAGTAACTGGGGAGATTATTTTCAAAAGTACAATTTTGATCCAAACTAAATGTTAAGATAGTTCTCTTGTTGCTTACATTTTCATTAAGTTTTAGAACCTGTACAAGCCAGCAACTGATCTCGTATCTCACCAGAATACTGCGGACACCATAGTTCTATATAAACACTCACTGCTTTCAGAAAAAAACAATGATAGGGTCTCTCCTTACTTATTGGACAAGATTTGTTTTGTGGCCACAAGGATATGACTGCCCTTAGGCCCTCCCACACCTTCAAAAGAGAACCAATTTAAAGCCACACAATCGAGCAGAATCTGTATTCTGGAATCCAAACAAAACTAAAGATAGTGACAAGGCAATCACATTTAAAGATATTATACAAAAAAAAACTAGACTATTATGTTGTCCTTTATAAAAAAGTTCAAAATGTAGTCAATTCTCTAGAGTAGTGAAGTATACTCTTAAGCATTCAAACTACACACAGAATTTATATGCAATTACTTCATTCTACTACTAATCCTATGATATAGATTACTTAGGCTGTTCGCATTCTAGAGTAATGTCGGTCCCTCTTTACCTAACACCTATCATTGCGTGTCTTGCATTTTAATTGTCATAAACAAAATCTATCAACAATTCATACTGGGTTTAAATACTTAATTTACAATATGACACTAAATAGTAATATCTTACACCTACAGTTAAGTTCCTCTAAATAACAAAACCATACATTACACACAAACTAGAACTACAGATAGTCTTTGAAAAAGACCATCAGAACAAGTAATGTATTTCATAAAAGTCCTCTAATATACGAATCAAAAAGCTCTTGAATACATGCAGTTGTTTCCAGTTTCCACCATAAACCAGACCACAAGTACTTAGAGCCAGCAGAGCTGCTGTAATAACACCAAGAAGCTGTTTTAGCAAACCCATGGTTCAAACTCAGAAATTTACGCAAGTTTAACGAAGCTGCACACTTACTATGGAACTGTAGCTGTGACAGCAAAGAGCTCTGCAGACTAATTGCTCAAATATTTCACTTCTCAGTTTCACAGAAGGGTACCAGGCAATTAAGTGCACTGGTTTGCTTCTGTGTGGCTTGAAAAAAAAAAAGTCTCTGAAGTACAAACAGTCTGAAAGCCACACAGTTTCCCTACTTCAAAGAAAGAAGAAAATGTTTTCCTTTCCAGAGTCATTGAACTACACAGGTCAGAAACACATTTGTAACCCTCAAGTATGCCCCAAAGCTTTTCAACTTGTTTTATATTATTTAAATAAATATCCTGGAAGAAAAAATAAAATTTTGGCTGCTTGAATTTACCACTAACAACAAAATCACTGATGCTGGAGCTTTACCACTTACTCTGACAGCATCAGGATACTGTTGCTAGAAGTAAACATTTACAATGAGAATCTTGCAGATCCACAGAATATCTATTTATCCAGTTTAACTGCATCTCACTGAAAATGTACTGTAAAATACCTACAGAGCTATGCTGCTGCAATACAAGAAACAGTGATCACTCAGTTTGACAGGTACAATTGGTACTACCTTCAAGCCATTTGAAACTGTTAAACAAGTTAGAAGAATAACTCTGCCAGTCAGCCTCCAGCTGATGTCCAGACTTTGGGGTTTTCTGAGAGTTTTGCTGTTGTTTTACACCTGCACCTTTTAAGACTTCAGTTTGATAGTTCAGCTTCTCCCTGAACACAAGGTCTCTGCTTTCTCTAAGTAGCGAGATGCACATTGATAAGCTCTAGCACAAGTTCCTAACTTGTTGAAAGGGATGATGCAAGTGCTGTTTCTACAGCAAAGAACAGACTGACCCAACATAAAACCAGAATAAATTTTCTTGTGATACCCAAGGTTTTATCGGGTAAGCCATGTTTGGGGAGCAAGTACTCTTCAATATTTTAGTCATTACAAGTCTAAGGTTGATGTCTTCCAGTTCCTTAACACCTTCTCATTTAAAGCCAAAAAAATTCATTTTGGCATATTTCTGAGCAATTAGTTTCATGAATACACTTTTTCCTCCAGCCTTTTGTAACTACTGCCATTCTTTCAGTATTGCCTGCACTAACTTTAATTAAAAATAAAGAAATCTAGCATTTTTCCACCCTGATTAAAACAAAATTGTTCTCCCATTATGATTTCTTCTAAATCTAACTCCATTACTGAAGATTAAAAGGTTACATAAACGATAATTCAGTGAGAGAACACTTGCTTCAGTCAGATTTTTTTTTTCCTCCCCCCTTTTTACTAACAAAGGTAACAGATTACCAAACAGAAGTTCTAAATTGCTATAATCTACTAAAAATACACAGAAGGTAAGATTCATTCTAACAAAATTCTAACATCCCTCCCCCCATAATAAACAAAACAAATTTAACTTGGCCAAGAATTAATCAAACAACTGCATCTTCTGGATTGGCTTAGCAGTAGGTTCTGTTCTATAGGCTGCAAACCTAAAAAGTAGGTGATCAGCTTTCAGCCAGGTGGGAGCTGTAACACCACACCACTACTGTTGGATTAGCATCTTCATAAACACCACATCTTCATGACTTAGGATATGTAAGTTAGACTGAAGTTTGTTAAAGCACAATCTTCAATACACACAGATTTTAATTAAAATATCTACATGAGTTTTAGAGTGCATCGTAACTAAAAGCAATTCATCTGGAAAGCATACCTATGCACAAAATTATGTTTATGCATTACAGCAAGTCCAGCAGCAATCTCGCACGCCATTCTCTGTAGCAGCATTATTTGTGAATCTCCTTTAATATGTTCCTGCTCATTGCAGATATAAGTTTTTAGGTCACCCTGGAAAAGAAGTTGAAAATACTTATCAGCCTTGTATGTTGTTTAAATCTGAAAAATATTTAATGAAGAACCAACCAACCACGTTACTTATTAACCAAATTTGTGCTTAATAAAAACAACTCCTCAAGTTTCCACTTTCCATAAGGATTCTTACAGAAGTCATCTAAGGTGTATGGTATTGTCCTTTTAAGGGTTTTTAATCAAATCATTTAGTAATTAAGATCCTAGATCAGACTGCCATGTAAAACCTAACTGTCATACAATAATACTTTCCATTAAAAAACAGAGTTTGATGAGCTTCTGTTTTTAAATGAGATGAATTTTCAAGTGCTCGAAACCAGCAAAGCTGACTGTCTGAAATTTGCAAGGGGATGGAAGGGAAAGACCTGAGAAAAGGGTTTCACACACTGCCAGCTCACCAGAGCTTTAGATATAAAAAGCATGGTAATACACCGCACTCCAGTCAAAGAATTCAGATGATGGCAGCAGTTTTACTGAACCTAGGCAAAGCTGAGCAACAGACATGTAATTAATGAGCCTGTAGAAGCATCGCATAAATGACTAAAAAAAGAACAGCTTTGAAACAGAGGGAAAATAACTGAAAGTTGTCCAACATTCAGGAAAAGGAAGACTATAGTAAGTGAATGCAAGCAAGGGAAGAGGACAAGTTTCTCATGCCTCTCTTGCTACTTTCACAGCTGGACTTTTAACCTAACACTTCTATATTTTTTGTTATTTAAAATACGGACTTTCTGGAAGTTTAGCAAATTACTTCAGAGGGTATTTTTGTACTGAGACTGCACAACATATTACATCACAACTTGTTTCACCAGCATAACATTCTGGGCTCTAGCTGTCCCTGTCCATTGTCTGCCTAAATCTTGAGCCAGGAAGGAGACTGAAGGGAAGTCTTGAGATTGACCAGACAAGAAGGCAGTCTTTACACTGGCTAAAAAGCACTCCAATGTTCAGAAAAGACTGAAGACCGCTAAACTTCCTGTTCCTCCGGTGCTCACGTACATCATAGAGCTATAACTGAAGCAACTCATCCCTCCTTAACATGGTTAATTGTGGTCAACAATTTACAATTTATTAGTTCAAGCAGTAGATGTCTGTGCTGTGCATTAAAATCTAACAGTGCATTGATAGCTGAGGTGTCTGGCTGGACAGTTGCAAACCTGTGTTGTATCTAATAAAATAAGCAGCAATGGGACAGACAGTCTACTTAAAGCAGACACTACTCCTATGTAAAACAACTTCGTTTTAATTTTTCAAAACATTAATAGATTCTACAGTACACAAACAGCTATTCCATCTTCATCTGCTTTACATGTACTACTTATGCTGCAAGTAGCTATACCACCTTGTGAGAAAGCATGCATAACTTCTAATACTGTTTAATGTTGTAGAAGCCTTCATTACATTCTCTTTATCCTGTTTTCAGCTACTGATTAGGTAACATTTACATATTTACATCCTACAGATTTACATTTTTTAAAATGTTTCCTGAAAGATTCTTCTGACTTACAATTACAGCTTTAATATCATACTGGCTCACGTATATGTGTATAAACATATATAAACACACCCACATCTTTCTACCTTGCCAGAGCAGATTTACTAGAGCAGAGTTCCAAGGAACTACAAAACAAACAGTGTCCATAACACACACAGGTTCCCAATTGCACAGTCTAACGAATGTTAAGTACAAAATACCAAGCTTAACAGACTCTAGGTGGCAGCAAGCACCTGAAGAAAGTCAAACTCTCCAAAATTGTTGTCATTCATTAAAACAGCAACTGGTTACTTAATGTTTGTCCCAGGTAGATTAAGTTCCTAGAATGCCTGAAACGCACCAAGGAATTGCTTTTTAATTTTTAAATGCATTAGTAATAGTAGTGCTGTATGGCATCCCTTATTTACTAAATAATTCACGTAAGCACACTTTTTTGTAGGAAATACAGCTTTTATTAAATCCAGCACCTTGAAACATACTGGTTCTATTTTCCCATTCTATTCTAATTAAGGCTACAATCAAGGTTAAAATATAAAACAGGATTTTTTTGGTATTGCTTTAAAAGGACATTGCTTATACCAAATTGGGGGGAACCAATGAATACACTCAAGTGCTGGCCTGCCATCCAGAGTGACCTGAACAGGCTGGAAGAAGGGTCCAACAGGAACCTTATGAAACTCCAGAAGGACCAAGGCAAAGTCTTGCCCCTGGGAAGGAAAAACCCCTTGCAACAATACAAACTGAGGACTGACCAGCTGGGCAGCAGCTCTGCAGGAAGGGACCTGGGGATCTTGGTAGACAGCAAGATGAACATCAACCACCTGCGTGCCTTGGCAGCAAAGACTGCAAGCAGGCTCCTGGGCTGCCTAAACAGGACCATAGCTACTAGACCAAAGGAAGAGATTATCCCTTTCTATTCAGCACTTCTTAGACCACATTTAGATTCTGTGTCCAGTATTGGCTGCCCCAAAACAAGACAGACAACAAACTTGAATGAGTTCAGTGTTCACCAAGGGCCACCAAGACGGTCAGGGGGTCAGAGCATTTCACCATGAGGAGAGGCTGAGGGAACTGGGCTCATTCAGCCAAAGGAAGACTTTGGAAGCACCTGATAGCAGCTGCTCAGTATGTATGAAGTTATTAAAGACCAAGTCAGGCTCTTCACTGTGGAGCACAGAGGTAGAATGAGACCACAGGTATGAGCTGAAACACGAGAAGTTCAGACTGAGTATAAGGAAAACTGTTTTCCACATGAGGACACTGGAGCAGAAGCACAGGTTGCCCAGAGAGACTGCGCAGTTTCCATCCATGGATGTTTTCAGGATCCAGCTGGACAAAGCCCCAAGAAATCTGGTCTGACCTCAGGTCAACACTGCTTTGAACAGGAGTTTGGAGTGGAGACCTCCTGAGCTCCTTGCTAGCCTGAATTACCCTATGATGCTTCCCTACTTACAAGCAGACAGTAGCAATACATCAATACTACTCCCATACTGTTTTATGGGCTACAAAATGGCCCTTTACTGGACGGGCTTTTCAACACAGTAAGTATCAAAGGTTACACGTATCTGAATACAGTTCTGCAAAATTCACTGTGCGGACACCTAAATATAAAAAGCTCAATAATCATCCTTGAGGAAGGCTCCACTTTCTCTCCAGCTTCCTCTGCCACTCTGCCTCTTCCCTCCTCTCCTGGGACTCCATGAAGAACTAAATTTTGCCTTTCCTCCCATCCTTCTCAGTTCTAGTCAGGATCAGTTCAGCCACCTTTGTAAATCTTAATATGCTTGTTCTCTGTAACAGCCAGAAGCCAGGGGCAGATTTACATGCAGTACTCTTCAGTGGTTTCCTTGTTTGTGCAAATTCTGTATTCGGTTCATATGAACATCCAAACAAATAGCAGACACGACTTTTTAAAACAGTAGGTACTGATGATAGGGTTTTAAAAGTGTGAAGAGCTCACCAAATTATGTCTACTGAACACTTTCTACCAAGTTGGAAAGCTGCCTGCCAAGTCACACATTACCACATAATTGCCCCTTTTGAAGTTCTTAGACAACTAAAAATACTACCCCTGCCTCCGCCCTCCAACATCGCTTTGCAGTGTAAATACCTGCAGTCGCTACCATTAAAATGCCTGAAATTGGTGTATGGTATAGAGCACCTATACTATCAGAAAGTTGTTTAGACATATGTAAGTTTAAGAGATATTAAACAGTTCTGAGAGCACAAAGAGTCTTTGAACCCAACAGACATGATTCCTGAAGTTGTCATGAATTGTCACACACACCTTTTTTTAAACCACACACCACTGATACATCTGCTAGTTGCCTCATAGCGATATTGACTACGATTATTAAACAGATTTGCTGAACTCTTTGGTTAAGAAGTTTTCATTGCAAAGACTCTTTTTTGATTTGAAGAGAATGTTTTCAAGTGGCAGTAATTAGAAAAAGCCCAAACAAAAGAAAGAACTAACCACTGCAGGCAGGCACCTTCCACTAACAGCAACATCCCTAAAGCAATCTACAGGGCATTCTAGGCAAATACTGCATCCTGCTGATCTCATCTGCTCAGGGAATTGCAAGACTTAAAGAATTTCTGTAAGAATTTGATAGGCAAATCAGCCTCACAATATACATGCTACTTCCACATTTGAATAACTTTCCTTTACTCATAAATTATGTCAATCCATTAGAGGATTTGCTGTGCTGACAAAATGCTGGCCATGCACAGCTGAGTAATATATTAAAGTTAATAAGCCAGCTACCACTATTTTTAACCTGGCATCATTCTACAATGTTTAACAGTGAACAGTTAACTATTCATAGAAGACTGCACCAACATACTAGGCAAACTAATATGGAGGGAGTATAAGAACTTACTGAGCATTTCTTTTTATATTTACCATTTTTTAAACAATTTTAACACAGGCAAAGGAAAATTAGGATTTAAAAGCTTAAATCACTTATGTGCAACTGACTTCTCTTGCTTCTTACCCCGCTCTGCTAAGCAAGGGACACAGAGCAACTTGGATTACATTATAAAAGAGGCTAAATGTTAGCCAATACAGTTACTGCATATACAACCAATCAATCTCGAGTAACAGAAAAGTAGTTTATATGGCCAAGAAAACAAGTAAGCTAGCCTGCATGACATTCAGCATTGCTACCGTGACAGTTAGCTCCAGTATCTCTGCACCGCAGTTTCCAGTGCCTCTGATCAAGGCCTTTCAGTGCCAAGGAGCCTGGGAACTGATAATCCAACAGAGCTGCCTCAGCAGCCAAGACAAGGTCAAGTGGCCCTAAAAAGGCCACGAAACCTAGCAAGAGAAGTTGCAAAAGGGGGACGTGCTGTGACAGGCTACGAGTTTGAAGGAGTGTGAAGAAAACAATCACTGTACCCTCTAGACTGTGTTGGTCAGCAGAATAGCCACATTTTTCATTACTTAATATGCCAAACTTGCAAAATGAGGTCTACATTGCTGAAAGCCTCAAAAGAACTTGTCATCTGAAGACATTTAAATTTCCTATCCGACACAATTGAGATATTTGCCACCTTTTTACCATCAAGTTCTTAATCACATAATTACAAGGGATTAAAACAAGTTTATTCTTTGTTGTATATACATATACAACCAGTAACACAAGGTAAAGAGCTTTAGCATAGCATTATACTACTGCTAGCAAAACAGCAACATGTTTCTCATCCTTCCCATCTGAACAATATATAGTCATCACAGACACTAGAGCCTTTAGTAAGCCACTTCAACTGTGTCTGCCCCTATGGTCTTTCTATTGAAGAATCAGACTCTTGCGTGTTTTGGAAGCACCTCCATACCCCCCTGATCTACCCAATTTCAGAAAAAAAAGTACAAAAGAAGCTACCAGCTTTCAAGATCACTTACTAGAAGCCTGAAAAATCCAAGTAACTGCCATCCCAGCCACAGTGGTACAAAGCAGCTTCTAGAATATCAGCCTACTGACACTCCACTAAAAACCTGTCTACTAAAAAAAGCTATCTAGCCATACTGTCTATTCCAAACTGTGCCGTCTGGCTTACTTCACATTTATTCCTTCATATCTCTCCTCTCCCCTCACTCCAATATTGCTACCTCCCACACCAGGCCCTGGGACTACAACAAGAGTTAGTGACATACAGCAATACTGAGCTAACTTACTGCACTCGTCTCAATCTCTGCATAAAACTATTCACGTGAACAGTTTTGTCTGCCTAGCTCCTGTATATCTGTGTGCACAGTGAATAAAATACTATGATGTCTAGGAGATACTCAGCTCTACCAAGTAAGAACTCTAAGTGAGCCAGACTTTCAGTATGAAAGTCATGTTTAACTCACTATAATATATAATTTTCTAAAAACGAGTTTTAGTTCACTTGGAATAGAAATCAACACAGACATTTATTTTCTATTCCAAAGAAATTACCTAACTACATTAAAATTTATAAAACTAACACTTTGGCTGTCAAGCTTACTGCCCCCAGTTACAGTGAAAATCTATTTTATCCCCTTAAGTAAAATCCTTTCCAGATTACTCTGCAGGATCACAACAATTTCTGGCATTAATCATCACGCATCAAACAAGGATATTATTTTTTCCCTGTATACTTAAAGTAGGGCAATCTTTAAAGTTACTCCATCTTCAAATTCAAAGTTGGATTACATAGCGTAACTATTTAAAAACATGGCAGCAATTAAATCTGATTTGGATGTGTATCTGTTAAGACTCTATAAAATGCAATTCTCTTTCAAGGGTCCTTTTAAAGAACCGCCAATTTGAGTAGCAGGTTTAAAAATCAGTAAGAAGTATTCTATTTCTACATATTGAAAAACTACAAAAAACATTATCTGGCTAACCTTATGCACCTACTTTTTAATTCTTAGCAAAACCAGAATATTTCACTTTGATCAGTCGCTTAAAAAGTTCAGGTGTTTCTTCCTTTTAGAAAAGAATGATTTTATCAGCACTTCTGCCTCATTAATTTCCCACAGCTAATAAATTTGAGCAAAAGAGCAGTAATGAAAAATATAGTTTAAGGTCACAGATTAACTTTCTTGTTTCTCAAGAAAACTCAAAAGTTCATGTTAACTCTTATTTAAACAGCTTGAGGCAACTGATGCAACTAGAACCATATACGTGCACCTGAGTTTAAAGGAAAATTCTGTAGTAGCGAAGCTGATAAAAAAGGATCTTGCTGAGTTTTATAAATGCAAACTATCTTACTTATTTCTTAACATACATGCACTTCTGAGTTCATTTCTGTCTTGACATTTTCCAAGGAACTCTGCTTTAAATGCTATCTAGACCACAAACTTTAAAAGCAGCTATTGAGCCAATGTTTAGATAGCCACCTGGACTTCTGTTTGTTTTTTAATAATGTGTTACACTACAACAAAGCAATTCAAGTCTTTCCAGACCATGGATCCATCACCATATCCAAATTTTAGTCTCTGAAGACTCTGTGTATACTGGGCACAGTTCAAAGTTTCTACACATGCATGCCACCCCCTTTCTCACAACATTCACATGAATTCCAGCACATGCCTAGGAATGCAGTGGCTGAGCAAGGTTTTTGTGTGACTATCCTTCCCAGCTTCAGTGTCCTTTGTGGCACTAACAGCAGGGCAGAAAGCAGTGAGAACACCCTTCACTGTGCTCTTAGCATTTCTTTTGGTGTTCAGGAAGCACAATAAGGCAGTTGTTTAGGGAGGGAAAGAAAAGAAGGATAAGAAAGTAAGGAACAGAAGAATACAGTAACAGAAACGATCAGGAAGAGAATAGGAGGATACTGAAAGTTCTAGCTATTACAATACACATTACTGATTCTACACGAGCCCACCATTGCATTTTAGCCCAAAGCTGCACAGCATGGGTAAAATTTGGGCACTCTAGAGTGGGGGAGGCAGAAGGGAGAAATTCTTTCCTCAATTAACGTTTTCATAGAAATGGTAATAAAAGCATATTAAGGTTGCACAGACAGCAAATAGAATTCAGGATGTGATATGAGCATGTGCATGCGATACTGGACTACAGTAAAAAGCTTCCTTCTATGACCTCCTTTCCCCTCCAAGCTCCCTGTTACATGACATAGGCAGACTGAAAGAGACTACTAATTCCATTATCAAAGAAAGAACAGCTATTTTCCACTTCAGAACATTCCACAAGCACCTAGAATTTACACAATGAATTGAAAAGAATATAAACAAAAAAAAATTACACTTGTGGTCTGTCTCTAAACCAAAAAAAGTCTGTCTTCTGAAATTCTGGTTATTCGAAAAACTTCCCAGGAAGAAAAAGAATCATTTCATGAGTGAAGGGCAGTAAATATGCTACATACAGTTTACATTAATGGAAAAACAACTGCAGCCGTTTGTGTAAGTGCACTTACCAAGTCACAGAACTCAAAAACTAGGAGATAAGGAATGGCTTCCACACATTGCCCAATACACTGGAGAACATTTGGATGCTGAAGAATGCTGGAGTGAAAAAATATAGTTAAAGCCAGAAACATCACAGTACACATCATTTGCAGTATAACTCAACACACTGAAATCCCTACCAGAAGTTTCAACACATAACATTGGCGCGGGGTGGGGAGGCAGCACAAACAGAAGGTGCAAGTATCCAAAGCCATAGATTCCATTTGAACCTTTGTATTGCTGCAGCATATCACTGAGAGCAGCTGAAACTCAGAGGATCTCAAAACCACAAAAGCTAGTACTGCCACAAGAAAGTCACACCCATCCTCCCACCATCCCTTATACCAAAAATAAGTGCATGCAACTGGTTCGTGAACTACACCATGAAACCAATCTGGCTAAAAGCTAAACCTTTTTTTAGCCAGGTTAGTTCCCAGCCAGATCAGTTACTTTTTCTAAATTGCTTCAAAAACACTTGTGTCAATGCAGCAGAAGGCATGAGATTCTTTTTCTGACAACTGCCAACAATTTAAGCCTAAATGCAAATATAACTAGGACATTAGAAAGCATTAAGAACAGAAAGCTCTCTACGACCACTTGCTTGTAGCATATTCAGGAAAGGTAAACCACACTATGAGGTATGCCTGGTGAACTACAACAGGCCTCTTTTTCAGTCATCTACAAAAGCCATTAAGTTGTGGCAGTTAGCTCTTCAGAGAGCTCTCACTATTCCCAAAACACAGGAAGATAAATTACACTCCCTTTAATACGCCAAATTCCTTTCTAGAATACAAAGACTCAACTCCTAGAAGCAAGTATCCTCCAAGCATAACACAAGAGGAAGAGAACACCAAACAATCCTGTTTTATTGGCATTTCCAGTCAGATCAACGATTTCTCAATTTAGAGTACTACTGAACTGAAGTTAGTGTAATTCTGGTTTGGTTTTTTGTGCACAAGCCTCCTTGCAAGCTACCCGAACAAAATTAGGTTTTATCACTATGTTGCATTTAATTTTTTGAAAATGGGAACTTTAAAGAAATTAATGTGTATCTGATAACAGACACAGTGTTGCCAGTTCCCCTGCTTCTAACAGGAAAGCCAAGTACAGGAGTTAAACCTCAGTTCTCAGAGGCAAGTAATTAGGCATAAGGTTAGTTTGCAATATCAGAAGTTTGTTCCAAACAGCTGTAGAAGAAAATTTGATAAACCAAACCAAGTGTGTTTTCCACTCATGAACAATAACTACCAAACGCATTTAAGCAAAGAGTTTATTTTTATTTCTAAGCAAAGTCAACTTTTGCTCAGTTTGGATTGACTGTATTTCACTTTTCAAAGACGAGCATTTCAGTTGTAAGGGAGGGCATGCAGACACAGTAACACTGAATGAAAGAAACGTCCATAATTCATATGCAGTAGTGCAAAGTGTATAAGTTAACCAAGCTGTGAAACATTACTTACTAATATGGTTCTCCATTTCTTAAAAACTGTTCTTGCTCCCTGGGACCTGCACTTGCCTTCAACTCCTTCACTATTACCCTTGCTACACTACTGCCTCTGTAGATCTCTCCAAGTAGAACCTGAAAAAAAATAACCATTGTGTCTTTAATCAGAGGGAAAAAAACTTTGGAGTTTCCTTGCAAAGAAAAACAAGAGCTAAAAACACGCTCTAAGAAAGATTTTCCGGCTTTTTTGTTAACACATGCAGAGCTTTGATAATTAAACACCCATACTTAATAAATCTTGACAACCGATCTACTCATCAACTTTCAGAAAACACATTTTCTAGTGAAGACCACTTATTTACTTAAGATTTTTTCCTAGGAAAAAATCAGCATTAACAGGAATGTATTAATACAAATCCACAGAAGTGAAATGTTGTCTACCTAGTAACTCTAGTAAGAAGCTACAGGTAAATTAAAGCAGCACTGATCAGTGCTGTGATTACTGCTAAAAAGCATATGCAAGGAAATATCTAACTTCAATTTCAGTTTTTCTTATGCTATTACTCTTTTTTTTTTTTTTTTTTAAAGAGTAGCACTTTAAAGGAAATACAGTAGCCTAGTCAGTTAGGAATTGACTCAAACTGCAATACAAAATTAAGAGATAACTTCTCACCTTTCCAAACCAACCATTTCCAATTTCCTGGATGTAGTTTAGACTCTGACGTGCAACTTGAGACTTTGATCCATCTGTCATACATAACGAAACAAATGTAACACGTATCAAACCACTTGGCCAAAGTTATCAACTGTTGAGGAAATAATGCAAGTTCCTGCAATATTTATTCCAAATTACATGCATACATTCAGACCAAGCAACAAAACCTAGTTACCTTCATACTTTATGTATGTCTAAGATTGTGACAACAGCACTCAAGTGAAACTTTTCTCAACTCCAGCTTCTAAACTGTACTAGAATACACCCTCTAAAAAAACACAGTGAATCTTCTTATGAAATGTAAACTTAATTTTTTAACACACTCAATAAGAAAGCAAAAAGATTGAGTTCTAATTCCAGTACAAAAGTGTATCATACCCTGTAGCTGGGTAGAGCAAATAACCTACTTGCAAAAGTTCCCTATGTAAATAAAAGAAGAAAACCCAAGACAACACTAACTCCTTGTACATCTTAACATTTATAGTTATAGAGAGAGTTACTGTTTTAAGAGAAAGGGTTTGACTGCTTTATTCTTCAGCCCAACTGTCCTACTTATAGCTACCATCTGGAAGGAGGACATTTTCTGACTAAAAATACTTCACGTAAAGAGCCCAGAGAGGGAAAGGATAGAAAACAAGACCCAGATCTTGGCAGACGATGGACAGTAAAAATGGCAGACTCTATACTATAAAAAAAGATTCAGCAGTGTTGATCCCTCTGCCACCTAATTGGTTAGGAGCACTAATAAATAGATGTACACAAAAACTTTCCATCATTACTACTTGTCTGAGAATTCTAGCCCACATTTTTATTTCCACAAACTACATTTCCACCAGTATTATTTTAGTAGAACAGCTATAGCTCTACAATACACTGTCAATGCGCTCCTAAGCACAGAGAAGGTTTTATCAGTACAACTACATTTTTACCCGTGTACCTTACTCAAGTACACCGCCTTACTTCTGGCAAAATAACTTCTAGGGACAGAAAGTATAGTTTTAACAATTATGATAACATAGAATAGCTGACATAAAATTATTCACAGATAATTTCCCCTCAGTCATTAAAACACTGAGAAGTAACATTTCTTTTGTATTAAAAGGCACACTGACAGTTTCTTGAAATTTGTAGGTACAGAAATTTTACTAGAAGCTTCCCTGAACATCTAATGATTAAGCAACACAAGCAATGTATGTAAAAAAATTGTATGTGAAGTAGCATAATATGAGAACTACTTTATGCTAAACTATGCTTGTAATATTTAAGATGCTTAAGTTTCCTTTTACAAAAATTGTATTTTAAAGAATACATTCCAAAAAACCTTTCACATAGGGAAAAGAAATCTAATGCTCTGTCTTAACATCACCACATTTACAGCATGAAAAGTCTACAGTGACATTAAGAAAGTGATGCAGCTGAAACAGGAGCACTGCTGTTAAGGAAGAGATTCAACTCTTGCTTCCATTTAAGGCTAATGGCTAAAATCCAATGACAACTTAACCATGAAAAAAAAACACTGAAGAGCAGAAGTCACTAACATCCTAGAGTACTTCAAACCCTTCATGTATACAGAGGCATAACAAAGTACTCTAAAGAGGTTTATTTAAGCTAATTTCATTCTCTTAAGCTACCTTACATGGCACCCTGCCATAAGTTAACATTTTTTAAGTAATATTTCACATTTTATCCTATACCCTGCAAAATATGTTTACTCAGTTTATGTAAGTTTGTAACAATTAATTTGTTTCAGTGAAGTCAAACAATCGGCTACACTCCATTTTTGACACTGAAATTGCCTACTTTTGTTTTTTCATTAAAAAACAGTATCTTACCTGTACGAGATGGAAACTGGGAGGGAGTTGGTAAAGCAATATTGGGAACTGAAAGAGTAAACACTTCTGCTGGAGACTGAATAGATGGAGTATCTTCTGCTGGAGGTGTAAAATCTATTTCATCATCAAAGTTATCTTCAAATTCCTGCAAAAAAGTAAGTTAAACAAGCTGATCTTTGTCTTAAATTAGCTCTGACACATTTCTTTTAGCTTAAATGAGCAATGTTAAGGCGGCTTAGCTTTTTTCCAAGGACAGTGACAGATTTTAGTTTTCTATTCCTTATTTTCAATTTATTACTGATTTAAAGAGATTAAAGTATTAAGTATTGCTTTTAACAAAAAGGGGGCTTTTGTTTTGGTTTTTGTGTTTGGGGTTGTTTTTTTACTTTAAATGCTATCCCTGGCTTTGAATGAATTACCATGAACAGCCGAGGTCAAATATTCTCCATTTAGAAATGAGAGCAAAACTCATTTTTAGGAACACCAATAAACAATGTTCCAAAAGTAACTGTTTTCAGAGTTTTGCTACAGTGGATATGCATCTTCGGTACTCTTATTTGACAGGATTGTCTTAAACCCTGTCAGCAGACTAAGAAAAACAAATTAAAAGAATATACAGAAAAACAACAAAAAGGTTCTTTACAGTAAAACTGTCTCAAGGGTATACTACTACTGATCCTGATAGCTAGTAATGATTTTGAAAAGACATTAAAGATACTTACTGCAGCATGGACCAAGTACTTAAAATAAATGGTTACAGCAAGACTTTACAGTATGTAGAAATACAGTTGCTGGCTACTTCAGAAGAGAGAATGTACAGTGACACTGAAGTGTCAATAACTGCAGAGTATTAGCACAAATAATCAAGTAAGTGTTCTGGATATCAGAATGCAGCTAAGAATACCACTTACAGATATATATATTTGTAGCTTCAGGTGCTTACCTTGAAATCTATCTCAGGGTCTTTACAGCAGGAAACACAGTTTGCAAGCAGTATTACCAGTACTACTAGAGTACATATAGACAGAATCACAAAAGATGAGGAAACTTCAGCTGTAGCTCCTTCTTCTAGAAATAAATATGTATGTAGTATTATATAAATATGTTTAGCATTTTAAGAAGTTCCTTCAAAACATATTATCCATCTGCATTTATTTAAAACATGGCATTTGAACATTTAACTCTGTGGATATGATCAAAAATAAGAGGAAACTGAACAGAAAGGACGTACTGGCAAAAATCTATCTATGCTCTACCACCTGCCTGCACCGATCTGTGCTTACTAGACTCGAACTAAGAGGCCACAGCCAGCATGATTTACCAAAGTAGGCAATGAACAGTGATAGTCCCAAGCCTCAGGATTCTGCTTAAGTCGACAAATTTATACAGCTAACTAAACATGGATATTAAAAATCTGGTCTTTCTGAAGACATTTCCCATGAGCTAAAATGCCTGTCTTAAGAGAAAAGGCAGCTAGAAGAAATCCTCACTTAAACTGTGTACAAATTTAAAATATATTACTATAAGGCAGTACTGTCTCTTTCAATAAACGCACTCATGACAGTCTGCCAAATATACAAGTTGCTTTCACAAGTGCAACAGATCTCATCAGCTCCACCTCAATTTCTATTTCTTGTCATTCATTAGGTGATTTGTCTCAATTTCAAGAATTTTAGACATAATCCCTAACCATTTTGCAAACACATTTCCAAATAATTTTCCAAAATTTTATATATAAACATTCTACAACACATTTTCTATGATTAAGTCAGGTTATTATTACTCACACAGGATAAAAAGCCTTGAGTGGCATTTTACAAAAATCTTAAGTCTTTGCCAGGGGAATTAAACCTATTTTCATCCTGTTTTCATCTTTAGTCAGGAACAAAGACATGTAGTTCCCTAGGAGACCGCAGCACACATCTTGAGGGTTTGTTTTTGGTTTGGTTTTGTTTTGTTTTTTAAATGAGTAGTGCCACAAGTACTGGAAGAGTAGTTGGACCATATCTGTTTAAGATATATTTAGGTATTACATCAGTGTTAAAGTTTAACAATGTCAGGTGACTTGGACTGACTGGATTTTATGGGAATGTCCAAGTATCAATGGGAGCATCTTGCAAAAAAATACAGTATAAATGAAGCCTCAAAAATAAAGAAAATCAGAAGTTGATCACTAGTTAAGGGACATACAAACTTGTCCACCTACCTCTTAAACCTTCAAAAAAAACTACAAAAAGTAATCAAGATATTTTCAGAAACAGCTACAGTTTTTCACAATATTCCACAGAACATTTAGAGAATATTTATTTTAATTACTTGTAAAGAGTAAACTGACATAATCAAAATATAGCTTTAGAGTGCTAGCATACTTTCAGAAGATCACATTATTTTGTGCACAATTAAGAATATTATCTATACAACAATAAAAGCTAACCAAAAAGGAAGGTTTTCAAACAAGTGATACTGTTTCTAGTTTCTGCAATAGCTCTAGCATTCTAAACTCATTAAAGGACATAAACACTCCATTTGTAGATGTTATGTATTGTTCAAACACAGGTCAACCATGATGTGAGGCTACTTACCACCTTTTAGTCAAAATTCTGAAGAGAAAAAAAAAATCTCTGAAAAGGGCTCTCAGTAGAACAATTTATATTCATTTAAATCAAGTCATAACATACTTTTCTTGTTGATGCTTACAAATGGAAAAATAAGGGGAAGGTAACAGCTGACTTATGTTTACTTCCTTCAGATGTTCAGTAACCTTACCAAGTAGACTGAAAATTACCTAAACCACAAATATAAGCATTTTGTGAAGTCATTAGCTAAATTACTGTAACACACACAGAGGTAATATAGCTTTAGATAAAATTTAAGAGATTCCTTTGAACTTCTAACTGAAACCAAATAATAAAGGGTAGCTTTACTACAAAAAAGTAAACATATTTATGTTACCAGGCATTACTAATTAAAATAATTTTAAAGACATTTTTCCAAAACCATCCCACTTAATTTCCAAACAACTTCCTCACCTTCGCCACCAACTTCACTGAAATGAGACATCAACTCACCACAGACTACCTACTGAACAGATGCAGATTTTCCCTGACTAATAAACACTTGGGAACACATCACAGTTAGAATATATATTCCTCCCAGTAGAAGATCAAGACTCCTGAAGCGCCTAGTGTGTTTCATACAGTGTACAGGGTGCATTTGGGAAAGTTAGCCAAGCAAATCACTACACGATGAACTCTGACATCAAGAACATGTTTTATTATTCACAGAATACATTACTAGCATGTCTTAAAACATTGCTATTCAAAGACTAACTTCAGACCAGATCCTTAAGAGGGAGGTATAGAACACCTCAGCTGTCAAGTATATAAAACACTAAAAAAAAAAAAGCGCTATCAAACTTTTATTTTGGGTTTATGGTACACTGTAATATCTCCTTTTTGATGCCTACATAGCTAACATTAATTTTACAGTGTCTTCCTGTTCCCCATAGGAGGTGAGCATTATCACTTCTCATTAGCATCCTCCCCTGCTTCAAATACTGTATCTTCTTCTAGACGGTCTTTGACCAGCCTCTACTGAAACTTAGAGCGATTCTTCAAAATTTGCTTTACTGCTTTCAATCTTACTGCTTCTTTTCAAGACCTGACAAGGGGCTTGTGCACCCAAAAATACATCTACTCTAATTATATTAGCTGGTCTAGTACAAGTTATCTCTGCCTACAAACTTCTTACACGTGCCCTTGGACCATCATAACTACAGCAGTATGACCACAATATGTATTTACATAAACATTATCATGCTCACTCTAACTTAGGATCCCACTTTTGACTGCCCCAGAAGTTACAAGTTATCACAGCAAATCCATCTAGGAGGATTCAAGCTCCTGGTGGTCTTATGCCAGTTTTCTGGTTTATTTAACTCAAAATGAGTCATAACAAGCACTAACAATCATAAGCTGCATTTATTGTACATTAGATACACTGCACACATATTCAGTTATTTTATATGAAAAAGACAACATGTTTTGGTTGGAATTCCTTCTGTAAAGAAAACTGGACATTTATCAAGCCTAAAATCTAAGTCTTTTATGCAAGTTACACTCTTCCCCATAACGAAAGCATCTCCTTTAAGTGTGCTGGAATGAATACAGAAAAAAAAATACTGCTGCTGTTCATTATGTTACTTTCTAACCTTATAGACCTTTTCTAATTCCCAAGAAAAGCAAGTGTGTGAACGAACAGTAATTAATTGAAGGAAATCATGAAGGTTTTTAAAAAAAGGGAAAGCAAAGATCACCTCTGAAAAGGCAGCTAACCATTAACAGTCCATTAAGAAGATAGAAGTCATCTAAACTTCCAAAAGCACATGGCAAATTTCACATACAAAGTTATTAAAAGATGCTTTAATACAAGAAAAACACCTATTATAAGTTTCTGCAACACTTACAGAACAGCATTTCAGATGACTCATACAAGCTACTTACTAAGAATTACAGAATCCATCACTATTTGGATAAACTTTGAAGTCTCTCACATAGTCATTAATAAGTGATTTTTAAATTTGCACTTCTTTAAAAAATGAATGTAAAATTAAGTATAAAATTATGGCAACCTGTAATTGGGCTAAAATTTATTATAAGTGAAGTTATTTTAATAGCTTGCATAAATACATATTCAGTGATGGAAGTCACTGATTAAGTATTGGAACTGGTGTTTGACAAAGTGCTGAAAAATCTGCTGCAGTATAACCTCTTCAGCATTTTTCAACTATTTCCAGCCAATGATTAAGTCACTGGAGCTTAGTAAAATGACTCGGAACTGAAAAGGTAGGAGATGTTTAATACCTCCTTTTGTTTGTAAATTGTGAAAGTATGAAGGAACGACATCTATTTATTACAAGATCCTGGCCAAAAAAGCAACCAGAAAGCAAGCCGTTCAATTAAACACAGAGGACCATTTTATATAGTCATTACAGAAAACAAGTTTTCTTCAATAAAAAAAACTGTTAAAATACATTGTAAATTTAATTAATTTTAATCTAAACCTAGATAAAAATTAATAAATATCACTCACAATTTCATAATGAATGCAGAAGTTAAGAATCTTAACATAATAAGATTCTAAAAGTAGAGAACTTAATAAATTTACTCAGCGTATCACCTCAGTTTAAAAACCTACCATATTTAATGTAACCCAACACAGTTACAACCTACTACATCTTAGTATCTATCCAGAAGTCAAGAATCTGTTCTTTAGGAAGGGAACTGCAAAACAGATCCAAGAAATATTATATATAAAATGACAACAATATAAGGCTTCCTGTCAGTTAATACAGTCTAGACTACTTTGGTCTGGTATACCCAAACTACTTCAGCAGGAGGCAGAGGCCTGGATTATATCACTACTACATTAAAATAAGCAGGATATGCAGTGTGTCTGTGTTACTATAGGTGTTACTGCAAGGCTAACACAACATAATGCTTTACAAAGAGCTCTGTGCTAGTACATGTTCCATCTCAAAATGGCATCTAGATGGTCCTAAATTATCAACACAGAAAATAAGGTCTTTTTTCAAAGGCTCACAGTATTAAATACTGATTCTATGCTGTTATTTACCCACTTTTTAAAAGTACATGGTATCACAAACAATTCAAAGCCCTGGCTGAGCTAGGTAATTAACAGCTATTGAAGCAGATTCTTCAGCACCTCTGAAGACTGACATTTCATAAGCAAGTTTTACACTAAAGTCTAAATTTGAGTACAGCACATGCGAAGTCAAACCCTGTACGCAGGCAAGTACATGAACATGCTCACTGAAAAAACAAAGATGATAAATTATGCTGGCATTCTCAGGATCAAGTATAGGCATGTGAACATATACGTCAGTATGTATTAGCATGTTTCAAGGGGTGGAAAAATGTTATTTTCATACAAAGTATATTTCAAAGTAATTTATGTAAGTCAGGATTCTCTATACCTTCCTAAGTTTCTTTCAAGTCTACTTTCTTCGTAAGAAAATTCACTGACTACCAAATGGAACAAGTAAGCAA